CCTGCACCCTGGGGCTGCCCTGTGGATGTGAATTCCTGGTGTGGGGTCCAGGGGGGGCCGCAAAAACGCGTGGGGGAGGCAGCTGATGCCACGGGGTGCTCCTGCCGCCTCAGGGGGCACCTACTTCCTCATCTCGCGGAGCCTGGGGCCCGAGCTGGGCGGCTCCATCGGACTCATCTTTGCCTTCGCGAACGCGGTGGCCGTGGCCATGCACACCGTGGGCTTCGCCGAAACTGTCCGGGACCTGCTGCAGGTAAGAAATCAGCCCTGCGCGTCCTCTGGGTCCCATCCCCACCTCCTCCGTCAATTATCAATAATCGTGGTAACGTCGGACCACCGATAATCAACCTCCAGCCGCTAAAACCGGTGGCAATCCCGGTGTTTGGGTAGGGGAGAGGGTTATTTCCCCGGTGTGGACGGTTCCCCCTCCCCAGGAGCACAACTCCCTCATCGTGGACCCCACCAACGACATCCGCATCATTGGGGTCGTCACCGTGACGGTGCTGCTGGGCATCTCCCTGGCCGGCATGGAGTGGGAGGCCAAGGTAACGCTGCTTCTTCCACTCGCCTTAGCCCCTCGGGCTGGTCAGAGCCGTCCCCGCTGCCCACCGGGACCCGAGGAGTGGAGGATGCCCGTAGCTCCCCAAAACCAGGCGAGGGTTTCTCCTATCGCATTCTTTGCCCTCTCGGTGCCCAAACCCCGACCCCTCAGCTGGCTCTTTCTGGTCTGGCAGGCGCAGATACTGTTTTTCCTGGTCATCTTGGTTTCCTTCATAAATTACCTGGTGGGGACGGTGATCCCGGCCACCGCCGAGAAGCAAGCGAAGGGCTTCTTCAGCTACCGAGGTGGGTCTGCCACGGGTTGGGGTTACGCTCAGCAGGTCCAAGCGCATCACCGGAGCCCGGCTCTTTGCTGCTGTTGGGGGAGAAGTTTGCGGTGGGAAGGTGCTCCTCGCTGAGAGATGTCCTTACCTGCGTGGTGTCTTCCTCACCTGGGTTACCTGCCATCAGCGGCGTGCCTCCGCCCGGCACGGAGATGCTTCAGCCAGGAGAAAGGCGGCTGTGAGGCCCCAAATGCTTCTCCTCTGCTTCCTCCCCAGCCGACATCTTTGCCCAGAACTTCGTGCCCAGCTGGCGCGGACCCGAGGGTTCCTTCTTCGGCTTGTTTTCCATTTTCTTCCCGTCAGCAACCGGCATCCTGGCTGGGGCCAACATTTCGGGTGACCTGAAGGTGGGTTTTGGGCGTTGCTGCCTGAGCCGGCGTTTCTCAGGGCTCAAGCCCCATTTTTCCCCAGGGCTTTGGTTTTGGTCCAACTTTTACACCTTATTTGATTTCTTCTGGAAACTTTGGGGAAGGCTCAGCCAGAAGACTCTCTGTGGCTTTGCGATGATTTATAATTCCTCTGTATAGCAGCTGCCATTAAAATGCCATTTTAGCCGTGCTCCTGGAAAGCTGTCTTACATCTTTCTGCGACTCCCTTGGACAGGATCCTGCCGTGGCCATCCCCAAGGGCACCTTGATGGCCATCTTCTGGACCACCATGTCCTACCTGGTGCTTTCTGCTACCATCGGTAAGCAAAACACGCTTGGGTGGGCTGGGTGGGACCCCCCACAAAAAAGGCAGCCTAGGAGGAAGCAGGGTGGGAACCAGGATC